TGTGAATGAGGAAAGTGTTTTCTGATGTCGGTTGTAATGCATAATAGCAGAAGAGCTCATTATGTAAGGAATTACTAAAGACCAAAAAAACAATCAGTACCCAGAAGAGACTGGAGCTTTCTATTATAACATTTCTAAAATGCATTTATAGGGTGTATTAGATACCCCTGTAATTGAGCAGCATTTGTTCAACACTGACCTGTGTCGGAAAAAGGTAGTGGTGGCAAGCGGGCAGTGATCGTCCTGCAGGAAATTTACTCTGTTCCCCTGGGGTTCTGGGACTAGACCCTTGTACAATGAAGGCTGCTCAAGTTTCCCCTCCCTTCCTGACACTACCTGAACACCTGCCATACCTTTGTTGGCGTTGCCTTCCTCTGTAACTTCTCTTGTTTTCCTCTTAAAGAGTCATTGCACTTTATCCAGGCACTTCTGTATTTTCTGGTTAACCTGATTTTCCTCTATACTTTTTTTCCTTTTTTTCTCTAGTTGCCTCTCTCTCTCTTTTTTTCCCCCTTCTTCTAAAAAGAAGACATCTTTACCTATGCAGCGCTTTGCCCAGGGATGCGCCTAAGCCTCTCCTGAAAGGGTTGGCATGGAAATGCAAGCACTAGAGCCCTCTTGGAGCTTGCCAGGGCCCTCCGGCTTTGAATGGTGCCATTCAGTGGTACCAGCCCTCAGCTTTGTGGTTTTGTTAAAAAACTCCTCCTCCTTCAGAGCTCTTTACAGAGGCCTGGAACAGGCTGCCCAGAAAGGTTGTGGAGTCTCCTTCTTTGGAGATCCTCAAGCCCCACCTGGATGTGATCCTGTGCCACATGCTCTAAGTGTCCCTGCTTGAGCAGGGTGAGTGGACTGGATGATCTCCAGAGGTCCCTTCCAACCTAAACCATTCTGTGATTCTGAAATTCACCATCCTGGGATGCATTTATCTAAATTGCTGATTTCAGTGAGTTGAGCCCTGAGTTTTATCTTCCACTCTGGTTGTGGAATGACCAGCTAAGGCTGTTGCATTTACATTTCTGCCTGTTTCTTTTTGTAAAATCTCTGTAATTCTACCTATTTGCTGGGTTTTGAAATAAGCCCTTTTAGGTGCTGAGCAGAACTTTGAACGGCATGGAGTGTTGCTCAGAGTGACAAATACGAGTGAGGAAATGAAAACTGTCCTGAATATCTGGCGGAAAAAAAAAATCAAGAATTAAGAACTTTCTTTGTGTACAGTTTCTGTAGATATATTTTATAGAGAACTTTGTACTAGCCCACTGAGGAACTTTAGGTATTTTTGTGAATCCACAGTATAAAAGCATATTTGTGACAAAATCAAATGCACCCAAGGTACCTTTTAGTAAAAGAATTTGCCTTAGTTACAGAGTTTGGTTAAATATTAATGCAAAATTTCTGCTATTACCTTTTTTAATCCATAATTTCTTTAATTAGATACTATGCATTATTGCATATTTTAAATATAGACATCTGGACTATTGGCCGGCATAATATTCTGTTTTTAATAAAAGCATCCTCACTGCTTTCTCAGAACTCCGTGCCAGCAGTTAGCTGTTCAGTATTTAAATGGAAGAATTGAGCTTTTGCAATGGAAAGCATAATGGAAATTAAATTATTCCAAGAGATTTTGTTCATTAAAAGGGTAGTGTAATAATTACATATACCTATTAATGTGTGCTGAATCGGTAGCAGTAGAAAACAGCAGAGGTTTTGCTTATATTTCACTGTGTTGGTAGATCGGTCCATCTAGTGTACTAGAAATGTCTTTTGATATCTATTTAGCTTATCTGCTTTTTGTTAAGAAGGTAAGCTTTGTTGATGAGGTTTTCAAAATCATATATATATATGCTCCTGCATACATGTATTTATATACTATGTATCAAATGCACCCTTTGTAGGCTTTCAACCCATAAATGTTCTTTGCCATGGGTGGTTTTAGATAATCCAGCTTGATTAATTGTTAGGCCCAAATATGTACTTGACACAGACATTTTGTTTCTGAACCCTCTGGACATCTCTTCCTTGCTGGCTTAGAAATCCTTCCATTTCTGGTTAATATGGCAAATTGAATACAGCTGTGGAGAAAGGATGAGATTTCATAATAGCTCTTACATCTGTCACAGAGTTGTTCACGATTACATCAAGATATTTCTGACTCCTGACTCAGAACTGAATCTCAAAAAATCAGCATTTAAATAATCATTTTTTTTTTATTTTAGCACTGAAAAGTGGTTTCTTATGTGGCTAATCAGAATTCTGTTCTGTCTCTTCAAATGAGCCCATTTGATCTAGCGACTGCAGAAGAAGGATACTCGGTTCTCCTCACACAGTGACGTTTCAGAGGAGCCACTTAAATTCACTGGAGCACTCCTATCTGTATAATACTTGATTTGCTTTATTTTCCACAGGTTATGAATGCATCTTAAATACAGAGGGAGTCACATACACTTTCTGGGCCAGGGATAATTCAAAATAAGATGCGTGCAATTCGTTCAGACTTCATAAATAATATCTTGAGTTTTCTTAAATTTTCTGAATTAGTATTTTTCTATTAGCGACAATGGATTTTTCCATTCTTGTAATTTCACTTATGGATTCATTGCTTCTTAAAATTCTGTTGTATAGACAACAATGAATCAAATTTTGGATTGAACCCAATCAAAGAAGGTCTCTGCCCTTCCTATGGTAGCAAGGGTAAAAAAGTGACAATATAACTATGTCTTTTTGGACTTTTTCGTCTCTCTCTCTTGTTTTGAAAGAACACACTTAAAGATCTTTTCTGAAATTTAGATTTGGAGTTTAGAGTGTTCATGCAGAAGCTTTTGAATCTGGAATAAGGGTTTAACTGATGTGATAACTCCAGATATCTGGTTCAAATTAAGGATTTTTATTAAATTATATTCAAAGATAAAAGCTAATGTACAGTAAGGATTAACAGAAAAAAATGTAGTTAATCTCAGCTGTTGCCTGTTACACATGTTGCATTTGCAATGCTTCCATCAAAAGGATACATTCTGTGCGTGAGTGATAGTCACTTACAAAGTAAGGATTTAGAAATGCAATTAGTGTTCTTTGGTTTTTACATCTGAATAAGCAACACATCAGTTTAAATAAAAATTGCACATGTTTTTGAATAGACAGAATATAATAAAATAAATATAATTAATATTAAATGAGGAAACATTTTTTGCTTTGTTCTTAATTATTTGTGATAGATTTTTCTCACTCGGTGATAATTTCCTTACCTCCTGGGAAGTCTATTTTTTCCTCAGTTAGGGATGCTCACAAATGCTTTGTTATGCTGGAAAAAAAATGTTTAGCTCTTAATATTTTTCAGCTCCCATTGAGACAAAGGTGACAGCAGCTGTGTAAACTGCCACTAGTCTTCAGTATTTTAAGTCTTCAGCCTTGTGATATAGGAGCATTATAAATTATGTACAACAATAGATGCCACTCAGTAAATATTTAATATGTGAAGGATATTTTTGCCTAAGTTACTTCTTCACTTGAACAATGTTTTAAGCTGTGTTTTTTGATTTTAGGGGATGACTTTTACAATATCAAGGAGTAGCTGAATTCAGGTTGAATGTCAGAGTTGCAGGACAACATTAATCACAACGTTTTTTTGGTTTGTTTTCTTTCTTTTTTTTTTTTTTCCCTGAACACTAGAAAACTTTTATTTCATCCATTAGCAGAGCATTTCTTGTGTGTGTTTGGGGTAACATTGGTATGTTGTGGCATCATCTCAGTTTGCTCGCTTGTGTATATATAGTTCCAACAATAATTCTTTTTTTTTTTTTTAACAATATCAACCTTAACAACACTTTATGCTGTGCAGGGAAATGAGATCCTACATCTCTCTTCTTTGTTCGTGTTTGTCAAGTTGCTGTGCTTAGGCAAATGTACACTGCAGTCTACCCAGGTTTTCTCACAGACATCATGTTGTCCTTGTTGGCTCTGAGCGATGCGTATTGATGACTTGGAAAAGCAGTAGTCACAGCGTTGTCAGCAAATTTATTTTCTATGTTTGCTAGCACGAGGAGAAAAAAGCGTATATACATACACATAATATGCAGTGGTGATGGTTGTGTTTGGTACCTCTCCATGCTGAATTGTCAGTGTTCCTTAGCTCCTAATGGCTTATTGGCGTAGGTAGAAAAAATGGACTCATTTCAAAGGGTGATATGTGTAGAAATTCACAGTCTCTATGGCCATTATCTTCCCATGTCTAGAAGCCAATAGCATTTGATGTCAATGTGAAAAATGAACTTTATAAGCCCTTAAAACTTATTTCAAAGGTATATTTAATCTCTTATTTATTGCACTCCTAATCTAATAAATATTACATCAAAGGTATTACTAAAAATGATTTTTCATTCAAGGTTAAATTAGTCCATTTGTACTTCTGCTGAATGATACCTTATCTTACAAGTAGCTGTCGCACAGTTCGGCCCAAAGAAATTTTGAAAAACTGAAGTTTTTTGAAAAACTGCAGTTTTGAAAAACTGCAAATACATTGTATTTTCAGTATAATGTATTATATTTTCAGTATAATGGGACATGTTTTAACTCTTTAGGCTCTCCAGGTGTCCAGATTTTTTTTTTTTATTGAGGGGATTCCATTTATTTAAAGAATTGCCAAGCAAAATTCAGGTTTACGTTCCCTAGTTGTACCAAATTTTGTGTACATTTAAATTCTGTTTACCCATCAGGCAAGGTGGTGGCGTTTGCTTTTAGCCAACTTGCCTTCATTGTTCTCTTGTTTGATCTTTCTTATCTGGTGTAAGCAAGCTGTTTGTTCTGGCTTCTTTCAAGTAACACCTTCACAAGCTTCCTGAAACAACAGCCTTGGAATACTCATTGGAAACACAAAAAACACCTGCAACACGTCTCCTGCTTGTGTTTTTTTGTGATACATAGATTAAGTTTTGTTAAACATGACTCAGAAAGAGAATAAAGAGCAGTATTTCTTGAGTATCTTAACGTTCTTTTCTCCACTACAGGAACAAACCTTGGCCCTTAGGAAAGAAGGGATAGGTGTTGTGTTGGATTCTGAACTGCCTCATCTAATTGGCATTGATGATGATCTCCTTAGTACTGGTATCATCTTGTATCACTTGAAGGTAAAAACACGTAGTGTTTCCACAGCGTTCATGTGCCTGATTTTTGGAGTAGACAACTGTAATTATAGTATTAATTTGTTATCTATGTATAGTAAGTGTTCATTGCATGTTTCCTCTCTGATTAGATAACCTGTTAAGAGGTTGTAGCTGATTCGTATAATGGGGTTTGTCAGTTTATTGCTTAGATTTATCCTGGAGTTCTACTGTTTTGCTGAATGTGTACAGTCGGATGTAGAATATTCCTGGTCATATATATTAGTTTCCTCATTCTTGTTGTAGAGTTTAAATTGAAATCCAAACCTAGATTGTCACAAAAGTCATTCTGTGCAGGACAGATAAATCTTGAATTTGGCAGCAATATGCTAACATTACTGCTCTATGAAAGCATTCTGAAAGTTTCGTGTATGTATAAACACATAAATGGTCCAGGATGCTGTGAGGAAGTGGGAAGTTAAATCATTTTTTCACAGGGGAAGGAAGAAGTGAAAATTATGTATATTTTATCTTAATTAGGAAGGCCGAACATATGTTGGCAGAGAAGATGCTATGACAGAACAAAATATTGGTAAGAAAGGGTTTTGTTCCTTGTTATTGTCCCTTCAATTGTTCTTACTTCTTACCATGTGAATGAAATGTCATCAGTTTCCTCTCCTTTTCAACTGGTTGTTCATATGTGCCTGCATGCTTTATTTTTTCAAAATCTTGTAAGAGGTATGAATTATGTGCGATTTACCCCAAAAGGCATATCTTCTAAAACAGCCTGTGGGCTTAAAATATGTTCTTATTCATGCATGCTGAGGTTTGCTATTAATCTATTTGTAGACTTTAAATAGAATTCTATAGAACTACCATCGTTTTTCATGTAGCACTGTCATACCTGATGTATAATTATTTTCTTAACATTTATGTAGTGACAAGATTGTTATACTGTTATATCTAAAGCAATCTCTGGACTTTAGATTCATGTTGATGAAAATTCTGCAAATTGATGAAAAGTGGGTAGGCTTCTTGCATTGATTTCTTTATTTATTTGATATAAAAGCAAAGTGACAAGACTGGATTGCCTTGGCACATGTGTTATTTGAATGGAGTTTCATTAAATAAGTTACTTTTTTTAGTTCTCAATCAGAAATCAAGAGCCAAATAATTTAGTTCAATGTGTTTTTTGAACACAGGATGTCAAATTTAAGTTTCAAAATAAATTCTATGAAACTAGAGCACACATGATTTGCTTTATAATGGTAGAGAGTGTATACTGTTGGTGTACAGTATATAAAATTTATATAAGCAGTTTATATGCAGGTGTATACATTTTTTCTCTGTTCCTTTTGTTTCTGGTGAGAATGAAAGACTTCTGCAGAGATAGCCTTAGAAGAGTTAAAAGAGAGAGAGAGCTCCTGAAAAGGAGAAAAGCAGCATAAATGATTGATAGAATGCATGGATGTAATAAACCACAAGAACCTTATTTCAGCCACGCTTAATAATCTTTAATCATGTGTTGCATCCTGTCTCATCAGATTTAAATAAAACTGCTTTAAGGTCAAGATTTTTTCATTATTACTCAGTGAAACTGATTTTTAAAAAAAAGTTTCTACAGGTGTGTGCAAATAAACATATTTTAATCTGGTGCCATAATATGGGAGAAAAGAAGATTATACACACACACAAAAAAACCCCCTAAACAACAACAGAAGCAACTTTTTATTAAAATAAAGCAATAAACAGCATAAACCTTCAAGGTATATAGTTGCTAAAAGATAGCAATTGATGAGGAAATGTAGAAAATTTTATCCAAAATAGAGAAAAGACTTTTTTTCAAAGAGGTAGTGGTATATGTTCTTAATAAGTTAATTTCAAACTGCTAGTCTTATTTGTTTTAAGAGGCTAATTATATTATTTTATTCCTTTATATTTTAGTTCTTCATGGCCTTGATTTGGAAAGTGAGCATTGCATCTTTGAAAATCTCAATGGTACTGTGAATCTAATACCACTGAATGGAGCTCAGTGCTCTGTGAATGGTATTCAGATCACAGAAGCCACACAGCTAAACCAAGGTATATGTAATTTTTATACACCATCTCTTTTTTTTTTTTTTTTTTCTGAAAACTCCATTTATATACTAGGGGTTTATTGTAAAATTCATTTTAATTCTGATTCCTTGTGTTCTTTTCTCCAATTAGAGGTTTTGTTCACTCAGAGAACTGCCATATGGTGAAAAGAGAATTCTTTACTAGTTTAAGCTACATCTTTGTGAGTGGGAATTGATAATTATGATTTGATTTCATTCAAAATTCATGCTTAAACTCCATGCCAGATTTCTTAGTTTTGGGTTTTTTTTTTAAATGTTATAACAGAGTCAGATATCTTTTTTCCTTTCCTTTCCCTCCAGAACTTCAGACTGACCAGTCCTGCCTAACACTCAGTTGTCAAATCCTCTTGTATAGCAGCAAATCCAGCTAGAGTATCTGTTAACTGAACGTTCAGTAAAATGACCTTAAGGGGAAAACCAACCCTAATGGAGGAAGGTTTGAGAATTGTAATTTCAGTGCAGAAAATGCAGGTGGAGCAAGTTAGCCTTGGGTAGAGGGTTTTGACTCATGATATCGGTAAAGGGTTGGCCGCAGGTTGTTATCACTGATATTCTGACATATACTAGCGTCTGGGACAGGTGCCTGTTGTACTCTCAGACCTAGGCGGTTTCCACATGCAAGAGAACATTAAAGAACAGGATTATGGAGAAGGTGACAGATTCTTCAGCTGCAAATCTAAGGTGGTCATGTTTTTCAAAAGAACTTTCTGTGCGGAAAACCCAATCCTCTTTGTCTTACATTTGGGTAAATCCTGTTGATAAATGATTGGCATTAGAAGCATTGGCATTAATGGCAAATAGAAAGAGTTGCAATTTCAGTGAATCATCTTTGCTTTAGTCTACCACATTTCAAAGGCAGGAAAGATTTGATTGGCCTCAGAAGTAGGTAAGAGTTTGGATGTTATTTCCTTCTAGCAAACCCAATGTGTATTGCCTGATGACTTGGCTTTGTCTCATGAAGAGTGGAAGCCCCTTTCTCCGACTGCTTCTCAAGAGTTACTAAATTGTGTAAAAACAGCTACTTAAGCTGCCCTGTAGATTGTCTAACCAGACTTGAGCCAGCCAGACAGTATCAAAAGGGAAGAGCCATTGAAATAACCACGTTAACACCTTGTGCTCGGTACACGGATCTGAGCTGTGATAGCATTCGGTCTCACAGGATGAAATACCAGTGTCTTTAAATATCTGCTGCAGATATCTCTAACTGCTGATATATTTAAATGTTTCTGTTTCTTATTAATAACACTGAAAATGTGTTAAGCTTTTAGACTGTTTATAATGTAGATTAAAAAATATAAAAAGGAGACATAGTAATTAATACTTCCTTCTTCAGATTACTTCCAGCATTTGTAAATTCTCATTAATATGCTCTTTTTGTGTAATTTAAACTCTCTACAGTATTTTTCCGTTTGGATTTCTAAAGATAACTGAATTAATATATCATACACTAAGAGTTTATCCTTTTCTTTAAATTTAACTTCAACCTAAACTGAATTTGCCCTTTTTAGGCCAAACTGCCAATGCATCTATTCACTAGTTACAAATAACTTTTAAAATATTAAGGAGATTAATTATGGACACACACGTTTTGCATAGTTCCAAAACACTGATCAGTGTGATGTTTTGTGATATTTGATCTTCTTACCTATTTCATGGTCACTTTGCTTTTTGGCGAGGAAAGTAGCTAAGTTATCTGGTAAGAGTTCCTTAAATGATACAGACTTCTTTATTGCTTGTGTCTGTGTGTGTGTCTGTGTGTGTGTCTGTATGTTCTTACGCAGGGGGTGTATTTTTAGTAATATCAGTATATTTGATGAACCTCTTTTTCTTTGCTGCTTACATTAAAGAAGAATGGGAATTTTTTTTTCCTGACTGGAGAAGCAGCACCATCACAGCCTAAGTTCTATTAAATGTGAATTAAAATCGTACAGTTTTCCCTAAAATTCTGGAATAAGATAAAAATAAAAAACATACAAAGACATAAAGTAGCACCATGCAATAGTATCTGTGCCATGCATACGAAAGCGGAACTTATTGTGGGGAGGAGCTATAATTCCTCCTCTAACTGGTATGTTTGCTATATTAGTGTACTAAATACTTCTGTATCATATGACAGGCACATATCTCTTCTCTTTCCTCCTAATCAGACATATGTCAAGTCTCCTCCTACCATAGTATTCAGAGCTATACTAAGAGAGAAATCCAAGTCACTGTTAATTTGATCAGTCATTTATTTTCAAGTGTTAACATACTTATATACACTGTTTGCTTTTATATTTGTGAAGTTAGGAACAGTCAAATATATTTGTAATCACTCTGAAATTTAAATTCACTCAAGTTGTTTTCTTTTAATAACATGCTCCAAAATGGTTACGGCTAATTATTTTTATTATTATTTTTATCTTCTTCCTATGCTGAAGGAATTTCTCTGGAATCCATGTGGCTAGAATAATCAAAATCCCCCTCTGGGCAAAGAGCAAGAGTGAGAGATCCATGTTTGGGGAAAACTATGAGCAAATGAAGTGTTTGTGGAATAAAGTGTTTTACTGCTTTTACTAGAGCAGTCATGACCGACAGGGACACTTTTTAATAGACTTACATAAAAAGTATGTCCAGGGCACTTCAGGAGGGAAGAGACAACCTACTGTATCACGTAAATTACAGAGATGGTATTGGATACCTTTGCAATTCTAACCTACGCACAGATTTGTGAGAGATATGTCTATTTAAGGTTAGACTAAGCTAAAATGTTAGTATGATCCAAAATTGAGGTGTGATGTAGACAGCAAGGAGTGACACTGTGACTACAGCAAATTTTGCCATTAATTTTGCTGAGTGGGTGATCCTACGTGGGTTGATACTTATGATAAAGCTAATTTTCAGAGGAGCAGTCTTAGCTGAAGAAAATATTTCATTCTCGGTAACAATTTTGCTTGTGGTGAGCAGTGTAAGTGCAGCCCTCTTGTAGACTGTAAGTGTAATAGCAGTTCTTTTTTTTTTCTCTTAAAATACCTCCCACTGACAGGTAATGCCTGATTCTGTGGTGGTTAACTTGGAAGACTTCGATTTTTGGGATCGCAGTGAGACATCACTGACTATCTATTTTTTTAGGTATTAATCTTGATGCCAGTCTCTTCAAAATACAATAGTGCCAAGAAGACATTATTTGTGACCTATGCTTGTATTTGATTAAATACTATAATGGATGTTTTCTGAGCAATCTAAACTATTCCAGTTTTTTCCCCTTGAAAATAAATATTATGTATAAAATTCTAACAATTCTGGTTCGGGTAGTGGTAGGTTTCAGTATTTTTCTGTATAAAGGTAAGAAGGGTAAGTGAGAGTGCAAATTATGGAGAAAGGGAGTTTGTGGTGTAGGAGAATCCAGATCTGCCTTGGAGAAATAGCAGAGAAGTGCAAGTTAGTTTGTCCTCAGCTGTAGTTATGGACATACTCATTTAATTTGGCACATGCTGGTTTCTAGCCTCCAAGGGAGCAGTGTTGAGAGTGCATAAGAAAAGTTTGGGTTAAATGCTGCTATTGTTTCACCTGCTTCATCAGCTGATCGACATCAACATGACCCATCTTTGTGTGCATGAGTATGTTTGCTTTTTGTGCTTTAATTTTTTTTTTAACTAGGAACATGAAGAAATGAAGATATATGCACAGCAGTTAACATAGCTGTGATCATATATCTTTATACTCTTTAATTGTTTTATTACTTTAAATTCTAAGCTGTAATTCTTTATGAAAGCCTTTGCCTACATAGGGGATGAGTGAAAAAATTGGCATTTTCTGGTGCATGTTATCAGTAAGTGTTTTTTGTTTTTTCTTCTTTCCCTCCCCGCATAAGGTGCTGTTATATTGCTTGGAAGAACCAACATGTTTCGCTTTAACCACCCTAAAGAAGCTGCTAAGCTAAGGGAAAAAAGAAAGGTGAGATTGAATGAGCTTTTTTTTTTTTTTCTTTTTTTTTTCTTTACATAAAGATACTTCTTTATTCTTTATTTTCATAAGGTGAAAGGAAGACTTTTTCTGAAAGTTTTTTGAAGTGTCTAATGCTTTCATTTTGTGGTCTGTTGTCAGAGTGGGCTGCTGTCTTCCTTCAGCTTGTCTATGACAGATCTTTCAAAATCCTGTGAGAACCTGTCAGCAGTAATGCTTTATAATCCAGGGTGAGTAAATTCTGAAATGCAGGTGTATAAATTGCACCAGTTCTCCTTTTCAGTGGTGTGAATGCTTCAAGTGGCAGTAATAGAAATTATTTCATTCTCAAGTTAATACTACATTCATGCTAAATAATAGGCTTTTGAATGACATAAGAATTTATCAAAAAATTTATTTGAAATATTATTTCAAATCTTTGCTGGAATATGGCATGAAAGGACATTGAGGAGTTTTCTATCGTGCTGAAAACCTGCTCTTGAAAGGGATCCACTTCTTAAATGCAAGAACAACAACTGCATCAGCACGCAGATAGATCTTACACTAATAAAGTGATAGTGCTTGGATTTCAGGAGAAAAAGTTTGGCATTAAAACCAAAGAAGTCCAGTACAATTATGATACTGTAGATTTTACATTTATTTTTTCTTGAGAATTACAGGCTATTTTTTTCCTGAGCAAAATGCATTGTAAACTGGAAATTAAAAAAAGACTCTAAAGTTCATTTAATACCGATAAAGGCATAAAAATGCCCAGAAATTAGTGTCTTAGGTTCTCGTCTATCTACCTCTTAGTAAGTGGCTAGGGTAGGATAAGGAAGACAATTTTATTATACAGTTAAAAAGAAATAGAGTGCTTGTTGTAGATAAAGTGTTTTTAATGTTTTTACCAGTGTTCTTAAAGTGGTTTAGGGTGCTTGGTGGTGATGTGGTTAGTTTGTTTGATTTTTTTCCAATGGCTCTGTTTTGAATTGAGAGTGAGATGAACCGCCTTACCCATCTATATGCTTTTGAAAAATAGATCATAGATTGAATTACAGACTTGAACAGTGCAGCTTTATTCCTAGATTTATTCCTAAATTTGGATTGCTCTTTGCACATTAGAATTTAGGATGATAGGACAGATAATGCCAAATTCAAGTTAAATAATGTGTTGTGGGCGTGTTTAATAGCATTGCTTCAAATGTGATTGTTGCTGTCTTGCTACTCAATTACTTAAACAACTCAAGTCACTGAACTAGTTGCTCATAAATTTAACCCATCTTTTTCTCAGAAATGAAAGAGAAGGTCAAAATGTAGATTTTTTTTTTCTCTTTCAGCCTTTTCAAATAGGTTGATCTTCCTCTACTGTTGAGAGCTAGAGAAAAATCCTTGCTATTCTGTTACATTGTGAATTGCAAATTGTGAATTTGCTGCCTTCAGCTCTTCCCAGACTCAGAATGCTGTTATTAATAATAGCCCAATATCAACCTTGCCTTTGCAGTCACTGTGGACGAGGACATATTGTTTCAGCATCACTTCAGCTGTAACCTTTCAGATTTACAGTCAAACATAGCAGCACGGGCAAGGTCCAATTGAGTGTACACTTAAGAATTATTTCCCTGCCAGAAGAGTTGAGATCATGTCAAATCATATTTGATAGGACTTTTTTTTTTCCTGTGAGCCATATAAAAATGCATCTAAAAAGTTAATTGCCTCTGGGGTGGAATAGATAGCACCAGATTCATTTTGTTTCTGTGTGTTTTGTGGAAAATACCTTCCTGCTTCCTTATCAGATCTTAAAACACTTCACATTGCTTTCCTGGAAAGCATACAGTATGTTTAATATCTTTATATTATCAATTAATATTTTTATATTATCAATGTACTCAGCAATTTTTAGAAACACTGCCATTCTTCCCATTTAGCAGTACTCATAATTTTTATTTTCCTCCTGTGTCATTATGAGGGAACTACTCTTGTTGAAACTGAGGTGAAATAATCCTCACATTTCTAAGCATACCTGAATTTTACTAGACATTAAACTATGAGCAGGGAGTTAATTATTGATATTCTCCTGCTAGTCTGCATTCAGTTAATCTTTGTGAGCTGACTCGCATGAATGGGCGTTTTTGTCTTGCTTAATTTGTAAATGCAAACTAGGATTATGCTTAAGGCTTGTTGATGTAACACAAGTTTGCCCGACTGTCACTTCTTTGTGAGCAATAAAAATTGCCTGTGGTTGTTCCATTGTCACTGTTCTGTTACCTTTTTTTTCTCTGAGCAAGGATGCTCACAGGTGTGTATTCGTAATTTAGGCTCTTATCCCTATCTTCAGACTCTTTAACAATGTTTAAAACAATACAGGGCACACCTAATAAAAGACACTACCCACACAGTGCAGAGGCTGTCTTTGTTCTAACAGCTCAGTGATTTAAAAATAGTAATAATTTCAAAAATGACTGCTTTTGTCACTGCTGCAAGAACAAAGTAGGCTGTAAAGTTTGCTCTGCTGCTTAACTGAGCCAGGATCTTAGAAATCAGGGGAAGAAAACATGTTCCATCACTGATGTGTCTTTATGGACTGCAGTTTGACTACAGCAGCTTTTCAGCTCAGGCTATGGTTCCATGGCAATGTTTGATTTTTACTGAGTAGTTGCTAACCCTGTCTTCTTTCTTTCTGCTTCTTTGGGGCAGCGCTGGGGCTTTTTCGATCATATGGTGAGCTTGTCCAGAGAGGTAATTCTGCAGAAAATGTCACTTCAAGGGCGACAGATGGCTGCGGTCATTAGAGAAATAAAAACATGTATAACATGCTTGCAACATAAAGTAGACTACAAATGCTTAAGGCATAGTAATAAAGACAGTGAGGTTGTATCCATAAGGAGTTGGACGTTGTTCAGAACACCTGATTCTGCACCCCCAGCTGGGGATGCTGCCGAACCAGGGCAGTTCAGCAGCAGTTGTTGCAGTTGCTGTTCCGAGTTGTAGTTGTTATTCCGAGGGGGGTCCATGTTCAGCTTGAGTAAAACATATTCAATAAACCTTATCTCTAGAATTCAAAGGCAAGGTAACTGTAGCAAAATCATTAGGTGATGAGGGGCATGCTGCTTTTTAGGAAAAGACAGATGGAAAAAGACTATCCTTCAACAAATTTGGCTTGGATTTTATTGTTATTTAAACAGTAGGAGCAACATATGACTTGGACTACATGGTTTATTGTGATTTTTTATAAAAGACAGTACTAACTCTTCGCTCCTGTGTTGGCCAGTGCAGGTTTCATCAGTTCTTGTAGCTCTTTATAATTGTATTTTCATATTGGTGTTCTTTGTGTGTAGTTTTTGTGCCTCTAAGCTTGCCTGTTGATTTCCCGTGTGTGTATGTAGGTACACAAAGTTTTGGTTTAATATGCAGAATTCCTTGTACTCCTGGTTTCCAGTCTTTGTCATTAATCTGGTGTCATGTAACATAGCTTCAGTTAATAAGCTTTGAGTAAGTTTTGCTCATAAATTTATTTTGAGGATTTGTGGATTTTTCTTAAGTTCTGTTACACTAACTCTAAAACCACTCATGGGAAGCCTTAGTCTTCTCATGGATGGAGCTTATTTATTTATTTATTAATCATACGACTTGGTCTACTGAACTACTGTTGCATATTTGTAGTCTTGCCAATATTCAGTATTTCCCAATACATGTACTAGCAGTTCACACTTTTGTTCTGTGTAAATCAAGCTACTGCAGTATTGTGCTAATAAAACAGGCTTCCTTTTCTCTGTAGCTTATCTACACTCTTCCTATTGCTAGATATGCCACATTTCCCAGGAAAACGTTGACTGTTTAATTCTACACTGATCAGATTAAGTTTTTTGTGTCGGTTCTACAAAAGAAGAAAGAGTAGATTTTGGTTCTCGATATCTGTTGTAATTTCAAGCTAATGCTTTTGCAGCGCTTACATGTATTAAAGGAGTAGAGGTTATGTAAGAATGTTTTTTATTAAGCATAGACTAAAAGAAAATACATCTCCTACTCTGTAACTTCAGAACTGATAAGTAATTGGAAGCAAATACTGCAGAGGGCTAATGATCTCAAAAGTAGAAAGCTGCTAAACATATTGTGAAAATGGGCTGCCAGGTAAGGAAAATGGCCATTGCTAGTGTCCTGCTACTATAAAGGCTGCATCTAGAGTGCTCTTGATCCTCATGGGATGGAGATGCTATGATTGACCCTTTGGTAGAAGAGCCTTCAGTGGAGCTCAGACCTTCTTGTGCATCGGAAAGTCTACACAGCAATAAAACCCCAAGGTGCAATAGGCCCTCAGTTCATAGGACTACATTTTAGTCATCCAAAAGGCATTACATATATATATATGTATTTTTTTTCTCATTTGTTTGGCATTTGAGAGCTGTGGATTGCCAAGAGACGTGTTCACAATAATCCATCTTTTCTTTTCTTTTTTTTTTTTTTTTTGGAAAGAGCCATATTCCCTTCAGAAATAATCACTTCCACATTGTTCATTCCCATCTTCATAGCTAACTTAATTCATTTTTGTTCTACATCTTGGATAACTTTGTGGATTTTCCACTGGGGCTACAGAAATTGTGATTGAATTAAAAATAATGAGTGCTTGTCATCTCTGCTAATGCTGTAAGCTTGACCTTAATGTAAATGTGAAAGGGCTGTTGGTAAAATATTTATGTGAAAGTGCTGATTGTTTTGGATTATGTATTAAAAAAAATGCTCTTCTGGAAATGGGCTTGTGAGAAATCAGAGAAAATGTAGATTGTTAAACTTGTGTTTCTCCATTTTCGAAGTGGATGGAAACATCCTTTTTGAGTATTTATGAATGGAAGTTCTGTTATCTTGTTTTAGAAACATGACACTGCTATATTTTTTCCATATTTTCTGAGTTTTTCATTGCCATCGTAGACACGCGTATGATTTCAGAAAGACATATTAAATGTACCCTTTTTAAAAAAGCTGTCTACAAAATTGCATTCTTATTGCATTTTTGCTCTTTTTTTATTATAATTTATAAGCTTGTTCACTAACTACAAATTGGTTGTGAGTCTGAAATGACTGTATCTGCATTTCATTGAAAATTTTAATCTCTCTATATAAATGTACTTAAAAGAACTGATGACTTTTATTTTAAAAAATTGCTTGTGAAAACATGGATTTTTCAAAGGAAATTAAATCAAAGAAGGAGTTCTTTGCAACGGTAATATAAACTAATATTAAAAATAACAGAAAATCCTCTCTCCTAATTATTCAGCACTTTGTGAAACTAATTGCACTAAAATCTCAAAGTATTTTAGACAAATGGGTTTGTGCCTCATTCTGTGCTTGGATATTCCACATTGCATGAAGTTTGAAAACGCTGCTGATGACTTTAAGCTGTAGTGTGATTGACTGCTCGGTTTAACCTCTGATCAAGCAAAATGTTGAATTTAAAATATTCTTTATTGCTAATGTGTGTGGGTTTTTTTTTTTTTCCTATCAATTCCTTTCTTAATCAATCACTCTGTTTCCCCCCACCTCCCATGGCAGTCTTTTCCCTGTGAAAGGACCGATCTGTCTAAGGTAGAGAAATTAAATTTTTATGTGTTGATTGCCATGTCTGCATGTAGCTAACTTGCAGAGGCTACGCTAATCATTAATCTGTCTTGTTTATCTCCACTTTTTTTTTTTTCTCATTTAATTTTGTGTTCCTACACAAGTGTCAGGCAGCATGGTATCTAATTTGTAACCCTAATAAAATAAATATTTTTCAGTTATTGTAGACAGTAGTTTTATAAAACCTTTTAATTTCCATCATTATAATAATCTTTTAAACTGACACCATGAATTGTACAGTATCTTCATTTTTTTTGATGTGCATTTTTTTCTGTAAAACAATGCTTTTTATTGTTTTTTTTTTCTCCTTTGTTTAGGCTAGAATTTGAGAGGCAACAACGAGAGGAGCTTGAAAAGCTGGAAACTAAAAGGTAACTATTTTCTGTAATTTTTATGTGTGCATGTATGTGTGTGTGCGTGTCAAAGTATAAAAATATATTAAATGTAAAAATAATTCAAGTATATGTGTGTGCATATATTAAATATGCATATATATCCTTGTGGGCTCATTTAAACCATTAATTTTGAATCACAGCACTAGTCAGCAGGCAAAGAATCTTGATTTAAATAAATTTATCTTGTTTTCCTATGGAGGTTTCAAATACCTTAATTGTTTTCTTGAAGAACTGTTGATTCTCACTGATTAGTAACCAGGTAGACATGCTGAGCTGTAGCTAAATGTGATCTTTAGCAAAGGAGATGTAAGTATCAAGTAGGTGTGCTATCTAAATGTAAGTTGCGGTTCTCATTCCTAATTTCCATGGTATTATTTTAAAAGATGGCAAATGAGTTTTTGTTTTTTTTTGGCTTGAGCTGCCTTTGGATGGACTCTTGAGGGAAAGTAGAAAAATACCATTTCAAACTCTGCTTTTTTAAAGTAAATAAAACCGTAGTCATAGTATTATTGTAGAAATTAGTTTGAAAGATAAAATAAGATCAGCTGATGAACTGAACTGATTTTTCTGGCTCATCATACCTACTAAGATTTTTAGAAGTAGTTGATCTCAGCATTTTGCAGATCACGGTCTTGCTTAGATAAACTGAAAACGTCTTTCTGCCTTCTCAGCTTCAGACTGCTTTCTCAGTTTTGAAACATCTGCCTATATAATTGAACTGAATTATGTAAACTCAAAAGAATAACTCTGAGCCATTAGAAGCAGTTATCTTAAAAAAAGATATAGCGAAGACACTGATATTTTTCAATTATGTTGATGTGATTTGAATTCAGATTACAATGACTTTGCTTTGCTTCTGTTTTAATTTATCAGACTTCCACTTCAAAACTGGCACATTGTCTTTATCCGTGCTCAGGCAATTTTATTAATGGCAAAACTGTAACATACCTTCAAGTCTGGAGTCTCCTTTCGCTTGGAACCCGTTAGAGAGTCTAAAATTGTATCACAGAGGACAATTATGTCTTGAATGAAATTACTTCTTCTCAAGTGAATCTGTTCACATCTATATGCATATGTGTGTAAATATATGTGAACTTGTATTTACTCTTTGCTCATATGTGTGTGCTCATACATGTTCTATCAATATTTTGCTGGATTATTCTACCAACATAAATGTCATTAGGGTATTTTCTTCCAATTTTGTATATCCGTAACTGCAGGGGTTGATAAAAACTGTTTTAATGTCTTTAGCATTTGTCCCCAGTATGCAGCCTATTTCAGGTAATAAAAGATCGTAAGTGCTGATACAACAAAATTGTCCAAAAAAGTCACTTTAAACTGTTGATTGTGATATATATTACAAAATCCTTGTCCAGATCTTCTTTCTTTGAATCTTAGGGGTATGCTGTCTTTTGGGGAGAAAAAAAGGAAAATTTTGAAATCTCCTGTGTAAATATTTTATTGTAGGAAACAGATAGAAGAAATGGAGGAAAAGCAAAGATCTGACAAAGCAGAACTTGTAAGAATGCAGCAAGAAGTAGAGTCTCAGCGAAAAGAAACAGAAATAGTACAGCTGCAAATTCGAAAACAAGAAGAGAGTCTGAAACGGCGAAGTGTTCACATTGAGAGCAGGTTGAAGGATTTGCTGGCTGAAAAAGAAAAATTTGAAGAAGAGAGGTTACGGGAGCAACACGAGATAGAGCTTCAAAAGAAGAAGCAGCAGGAAGAAATCTTTGCCTGCGTGAAAGAAGAGTTGCAGCGACTCCAAGAACTTAATCATAATGAGAAAGCAGAGAAAATGCAGATTTTCCGAGAGCTCGAAAAGCTTAAAAAAGATAAAGATGAACAATATATCAAGCTGGAATCAGAAAAAAAGAGACTTGAAGAACAAGAAAGGGAGCAGGTGTTGTTAGTGACTCATCTAGAAGAACAACTTCGAGACAAACAGGTCATGATAGAGCTACTGAAGAGAGGAGGTGTTCAGAGAGTTGAAGAAGAAAAAAGAGATCTTGAAGATATTAGAGAATTTCTTCTGAAAGTCAAAGAAGGCCGATCTGAAGGTGATGAAAACTGTGAAGAGCTAGAAACAGCACAGCATAATTTCATAGAGTTTAAAAAAAAACAACTAGAACAGTTGAATATTTTAGAGAAGGATTTAGTTCAACAAATGGAACACCTAGAAAAGGAAATAGCGCACGGGAAAGCAGCTCTGGACCACTTAAAATTTGCGTACGAAAAACAGTTAGGTACTGTCAAGAAAGAGGATGAAAACTTTGTGGATGTTGCACTCAAGTCTGAAGAGTTTGAGAAGATAAAGCCAGCAGAATATAGGCTGCAATCTAAAGTACGTCAGCTTGAATACCTGATGAATAATCATTTGCCAGCTCTGCTGGAAGAAAAACAAAGAGCTTCTGAAGTCCTTGATAGAGGCTTGTTAGGATTAGATAATACTCTCTATCAAATCGAGAAAGAAATAGAAGAAAAAGAAGAGCAGCTTGCCCAGTATAGAGCTAGCACAAACCAGCTGCAGCAGCTTCAAGAAACATTTGAATTCACAGCCAATGTAGCTCGCCAGGAAGAAAAAGTTCGGAAGAAGGAAAAGGAAATCCTTGAGTCAAGGGAAAAACAGCAGAGAGAGGCTCTGGAACAAGCTGTTGCTAAGTTGGAAAGGAGGCACTCTGCGTTGCAACGTCGTTCCACGATAGACTTCGAAATTGAGGAGCAGAAACAGAAGCTTGCAACCTTGAACAACAGCAGCAGTGAACAGGCAGGTCTACAGGCTAGTCTAGAAGCTGAGCAGAAAGCCCTTGAGCAAGACAGGGAACGGTAAGTGTTGTGATAGCAGCAAGTTACTGGAACCTATGTGCAAAGAGTGCACATAACCTTAAACTTTAGATTTTGAGAGAGCAAATTGTTCTGCTTGCCCGTGTTCTAGTTTCTTGTTGGAGCTTTAAGTAATTTACCCAGAATGGGGACCATGCATTGCTTTTTAAAGGATTCTTCTTCTCTAATTGCTTTCTGTTCTGTTCACATACTTATCTCATCCCCAGCAGCATAATCACTGCAGTATTTGAATAGTATTTTTTGCCTGCTCATGAAGCCAAGGAAACGTTGCTATATCTTTTTGTAGCTATTTACACTTATAAAATCAATGTATGGTTGTTCAAGATTTATAGCCTGGTAGTTACAGGAAGGCAGCCAGCTGACCTCTCATCTGATGGTGTGCTGCATACTTGTAGTATTCAGAGTAAACAGGTTTTATTTATTTATTTATTTATTATTTTTTTATTAAATAAAGAGCTAAAAGACTAGCCATAGATCACTGTAAAATTTGATATTAGCTTTGAGTTTATTTGATAAATGCACAGATGCTTCAACACAGGTCTGTATTGACAAAATCTTTTATGTACAGAAATGTCAATGTCATCAGTTACATATGCAGTAGCTATAGATTGCCTTTCAGAGCATGGGAGAGTCAGAGAGCGGTATTTCAAGTGAGGTTGAGTATTCCATTGCTGAAGATGAGGAAGAAACCTTTTTGCCTTGCTTTTGGCCCAAGTGATAATCCACTGGAATTCGTGCAGTGAATTTAGGTGGTATGGAAAATGGGCAAAATTGCTACTTTTTAAAATGAGATTTTCAATTTGATAATTTTCCAATTTGATAATGCTAGAATTTTAAAACATAGCATTATTTGCACAGTAACGACTTCTTCTTAGGATAGCATTTGTGATTTGTTTTTTAATATTACAGTGATGATGATTTAATTTTGCTTTCATACACATTTCAAACAGCTGCTTGATTAGAAAAGAATATTCTAATTAGACCCAAAATAAACTTGCCTGTAAACAAATTGATGGGTTCTTTTGTATCCTTTTTCTTTTAAACTATTGTCAGAAGATAGTTTCTTTGTATATCCCATGTAGAAGTTACTGCTTCTCTTTACAGAGATACATTGTGTGGATCTTGGTTAAAAAGTCTGTATTGAAAATGCTTGTTTTCTTGTGGATATTGCCTTTATTTGTCATAATTATCGTGAAAAGCATATAATCTAGTTTTGTACACTGAGCATTCGACTTGAATAACATCGTCTATAAACAAAGAGATGTTACCGAAAACGGACAGCTCTTAGTCCTGAAGAGACTGCTGGATTGTGTGATGATAAGTATTAAAAAAAAAAAAATAAATAAAGCTGTACTCAGTTACAAGACTGAGATTTTAAAAGGACCCCAAAGAAGTGAAGTGTTATTTTTTTCTTTTCCTTCTTGCACAAACTATAAAAGAACTTTTAGTCTTCGAGTGAATGGCCCAGGGGCCCACAAAATTCAGTTCAGAATATCATTTGTACACAGGGGTAGTTGACTTTTATTTTGGCAGGAAGAAGTCTGCCAATACATAATAATATGTTAAATGTTTTGGGCCAGCTATATCATTCTTATGCATGGGTGTTTTCATTTACAATTTGGAGTAAATTCAAGCCTGTGACTTCAATGTTTTGGGCATTATCATGAATAGATGAATTGTATGTTTATTTCTCTAGATGTTGTGGGTGATGATATATTCTAGAAAGAAAGGTTCAAATCAGTGTTAATCATCAGATTATTTTTAAAAACAGTATTCATTTGACATTCTGTGCAAGCCTAAATCCATGATACGTGGATAAAACTGTTTCTCTCTGGTTTGAATAACTTTTTATTAAATAAACTACCTTGAATTCTCTCTCACCTCCAGGGAGGACCCCCAAAATGGTAACCAGGAGTTAACTTGTATTAGATTTAATGCATACACATTTTGTCTTTATTGGCATGAGATCTGTGGCAATAGATTGAACATAAATCAAAATTAGAGTTATCTTTCAGGGTCATATCACTCAAAAGTAACAAGGTGCATCACACAGCTGGTTAAGTTTATGGCTGTAGTAAATGATATATTTTGGTAGCAGGTTGTGTATACAAATCAAGAGAGAACCTATGTTCATTTAATGTAATTCTGATCTTTACAGCTAAATTGATTTTCCATAGACGCGAACGCTCTCATTTCCATCAGCCATCTCCCATCTACTTTCCCTGCAGGACTGTCTTGCTGCTAATCAAAAGGAACAGGTGCTTCTAGCTCTTCTAAACATGAAGTAATGATTCAGGCGCCTTCACTCCAAACTAAACCTCTCCATTTGTCCTCTCCCTTTTCATTTTTCTGTTTTAACTTCCAGGATAGAATAAAGTAGTCATAGAATCATACTTCAGAGGTTATGTGGCTAAAAAATTTTGATATATGCAATTTTGTGTGAATGTGGAATGCTGATTTGTATAATTGCCCTTTCTTTTCTAAGAAGTTATTTTATGTTTATGTATACATATTCTGTAATTTTCAAGTAATGCCTAAAAAACAATTACCTGCAGAGACAAAAATTATAACAGAAGCAGAGAAGGCTATTACTGTGTTATTAATCTCAACTACAATACAAGTGAAAAGTGTCTTCTGCGGATTACTTTGTTATTATGTAATTTAATTTAACTAAGTGATAGGTATTGCAAGAAGTGTTTCTTGTTTTGTGCTTGATACCTCAAGCATTTTCAGCAAAATACATTGTTTCAATCTTAAATATTCTATCATGTACATGAATCTGGCTAATGTGAAATTTATTTGTTGGAGAAAGTGAGAGATTTACATTTTGGAAGATTTTTTTTTAGGTGTAAAAACAAATGACCAGACATGGTCAAGTCAATTTTCAAAAAAAATACAAAAGCAAGGAGTAGCTGGAAATTAAACAAATTTATGTTATTTTACAGGTTTTCTTATAAATTTGTTTTTACATTATTGTTTTAAGTTGTCTTTTCGGGGGAATTAATATTATCTTTTGAAGATTTTTTCATTTATCCATTTATTTGTCATTAGAAGCCAAATATCTGAGATCACTGGAGTTCTGAAATAAGGGAAGCTTATTCAAGTGATCTTTGTAGATATGTTAAGTCTTACAAATTAATATTTTGTTAGATTTCTCTTTCACTAGATGTTATTGAAAGATTTTTATTTAATTTAAAGTTGCTGTTGTATACTGTTTGTCAATCTCGATTATGCTATCTAAATTTGCTTAAAGAACAAATAGGTATTTTTAAAGCTTCATAAATATTAATGCATAAGGTCTTACACAGAAGTATCTCAGCCTAAGTACAGTACTTGCCACATGCACCGCTGGGAGTCATTGATATTTTAAAACAGCCAAGACTAACATTTTAAGATCTCTTTATAGCCTGGACCAAGAAATTCAGCAGCTGAAGCAAAAAATATATGAAAGTGATGGTGGACAGAAGGGAAATCATGGCATGTTAGAAGAGAGATTTTCTCATACCAATTCCCCTACGAGCCCAATGAATCCACAGCCATCCTCCATTCCACTAGTTAATGATAGGTAGGTAGCCTGCATATGGGCAGTATTTTGTCACAAATTCAAACAAGAGCTTTGGAAAGAAATAATTTGAATGATCATTATGTCATGATTGGACTGTAATTAAATGCCATAACTGAACTTAGGATAGCCTAGACATAAAATTAATTTGCTATGCTTTACTTAAATAACCAGCAATCTAATCTGTGGTTCTCATGCAGTTTGTTTTTGAGTAGAGGTCTGCATAACTATAGACTTAAATGCATTCAAATTTTTATGTTCTTAACATTTAGAGTTACTTCCAATGGTATTGCTTTATGCATGCTAAAAGCGCCCCCCGAAATAAAATGGTAAATCACACTAGCAACAGCCTGAAATCACTTTAAAAAATATTTTATTTTTTACTCTCCATTCATTTTACCCTTATGCATGCAGTAATTAACATCAACGTTTGGGACAATCTTTTTTTTTTGAAGGCAAGGATTTTCTTATTCTAAGTTGCCCGTGTTGCAAAACTGTTAAAAGCAGTAACAAACTGAATCGCAGCCTTCTCTTTCCTCTTCATCTCTCTAACCCATAATGATGCTTCTGTATCGATATCTATGCATAGCAGTGGCTTAACCTGTGGTCCATTAAATTGTCTGATGGTGTTTATAAATTTTTAACCTTGGCATGTTGAATAACCATTGCTGAAGAGCCCCTGTTCTTTGCAGAGGGAGAAAATTGGGCTAACATTAAGCTTGCCAGTTAAGAATTGTGCAATGTTTTGGTTCCTAACTTTTTAAACAAGCTCTTTAACCTATCTTTCTTTTCCTTTTTATTTAAGAATATGCTTAGAATATGCCTTTTTTCATGTATCTCATAGGATAAATGCCTTCATTGAACAAGAAGTACAGCGACGGCTTCAAAATATTCATCAGAGACCTGAGGATAACCATGCTGGATTGTCCTGGTCTACAGAAAGTGTGAAGGTGAGCAGAGCTGAGAAGGAAATACAGGATTTCAAGGCACCTATGCAACCAGTGATTTCATTTCACTGTTCAATAATGTTGATCTTCTGTGTATTTATTTAATTTTGTATATTTATTTACTTTCCCAAAAAAGAAAACGGTGAACTGGAGATTTTAATTACAAATCTAGTAGTGTTTGTAATGAAGACTGGATAAATGACAATAAGAAGTTTTTAAACAAATTCAAAACATTCATTCTATGCTTTTATAGCATTGAATAAAATTCTACTGAAAAGAATAGTAACTGTTTGCCAGAGCACTCCTTGCACACAAATGCTTTTCTAAAAAACTGGCAACCTGATTAATCAGAAGATTGGTTTCATTCAATTTCAAGACAGTTTTTAAACAATACAACATAAATAAGAAAATAGTCTGTATCTTCCTGTAAATGAACTTGTACAAAAAAAGCACTTTGTTATTACCTGCACCTTTTATTTTCTTAGGATAATGAGAGGCTTAATAACAACACTGTTCAACGCAAGCTGAAGTATGAGGTAGGTCATAATTTGTCAGAATGAAATGATTATCTTAAATTATGGCATGCCTGCTAATTAAATTTCTTAACATTTAGCTGCATAATTAGAATTTCAAATCATAGAAAGATTAATGGAGAATAGATACAGCAATGTATTTTCTGGCTTAAATTTTAGCAGTGATTTTTGAAGGTTGGGCACAGGTTTTTCCTTATTTGAAAGGTGTGTTATTATGGTGAAGGCTTCTTCCTTGTTTTTTTATAATTCTTTATTTGGAACAGTATCCGTTTCCCATTTTTAGAGAATAAAGGCCTCTAATGAGGAGGAACTACATTGTTTGAATTCAAAATACCGTTTCTTATTTATGACTTACAATGAGATCTCTGCTGGAAGGGTGTTTAAAGCATTAGCAACACCAGGGGGATTTTGTGAATATGCCATGAAGGGTTAATGTGTAGATAATTTTGTAACTTTTCTTTCAAACTGAGCCTTAAACCCCTCCCACAGTATTTGGTTGCGTGGTTGCCTAACATTTTGAAACATATAGCTAATTAAATCTTAAATTGGAGAGTAGCTTCTAAATATCTTTCCAGATCTGAGCCTTCATTATAGGAGGATGGCCACCCTACTTTTTTCTTTTGTCTTCTATTTTATGAACCTTCATAATGTTTTGAATTGTACATTATCTTAATAATGTAGGACTACATTTTCTTTTCTTGCTGTAGGAACTTAATATTGCAATTTTGTGGAGGGAAAGAAGATATCAACAGGCATATAAATTTCTGCTTTAGCCTTTCATTTACTTGCATTTTTTGTGTACAACAAATATAAACCAAGTGAAATGGATACTGTACAAAAGAACAGCTGGGAAGATCAACCATTCCTGAATCAGTTTTGTTGGATTTGATCTCTCAAATTCTGGTTTTCAAACCCAATCAAAATTAAACTTGCATTAAGGAATGTTCGAAATGGAAGATCTCTTTAAAGGTATTTGTTTTTTTTTTCTTTTGAACCTTTTAACAGAAAAGTCAACAGTGGCAGCCACATTATGGCTTTCCGCTTTTATCTAAAGATGACAGTGGTGCTTCCGAGTTATGTGGAGAAAACACAGGAATAAGAGACCCTAAAACACAGAAGGAATATGCAGAGATGTGGAGAATATTTTCTAGTGATGGAAGAATCTCCTCTCCTTTTACATCAGAAGATGCATTTGAAAATGAAGGGAATAATTCAGAACACAAGAGCTTTGTTTGTCTTTATGACACTGAAAGTAACTTTGCTCAGACTGAAAATACCAGTCCTTTAAAGAGGAAGAATATTCCTTATCAGAATGTTTTATCTACTTCCTTACAGTGGCATGGCCTAAATAGTGTGCCATATTCACACTGTGGGTTTGCGAATTTCAATCATTTTGATGATAAAATTAGCATTTCTCAGGATCATGGCAGCTCAAGACCTGAGTCTGATTGTTTCTACTTGCAAAATCTGTCCCCTTTAGGTCCTTCAACATGTGCTAATGGACAGGTTCCTTTTAACAGCAGATCTCACCTTGTCTTTTCTCAGTCTAACACAAATTATGAAATAGCCTGTAAAGAAAACAATCCATTTAATACAGTGAACCGGACCATCCAAGGCCAGTCCAATAATTCTCAGCTTTCAGCTGAAAAAGCTCCTGATTTGATCTCTTCTAAGTCACTAACTCCTTATTCTGGCATGGGGCCAGAACCAACCTATGGCTTGGGATACCTTTTCAGTAAGCTGTCCTGCTTTTACAAAGATACTGGTACTTACCTTTTCAACAGTACCATGATTTCTAAACAGATTAAGGAGCTGGGGAATTTGTGTGACAAAAGCAGGAGATCTTCCCAAGTGGTATCATTAATAAAAAACCTCCCATTTGTAAGAAACCTGCAAGTAGACATACTTTTCAATTCAGGTGCGACTCAAGACATATCCCGCTCTACAAATGGCACTAAAGCTCAAACTGATAATGTCCTTCAGCTGGAGTCCCCTGTGCAAGAGCATATCCCAGTGGGTGCAAACACAGAAATCTTAGATGTGTGTGCAGGAAAGCCTACTGAAGGATTTGTATGCCATTATGAAAATGAAAAATTCGAAAATAGTCTTGTGTTAAGACAAAACTTTGTGCATTTTCCTGACATCCTTTTGAAGCTCCAGGTCTGCTCTCTGGAAAAAGTGCTGGAATATTTGACTTGTGCCTTACCTCAAATTTGTATTGGTGTAGAGGAGCTGAAAGGTATATATTGGCTTGCTGTTGGCAATTGCACCAGCCCTGATCCAGAACCTGCTTGCTTGCTTTTGTTCCGTTCTGTTTTGTATGTTGTCGTTCTGTCAATCAAGCAGGAAGTTGGTCAGAATTCCTTGGAAATATTTCATAAGGTTCCAGTTATCACAATAGAAGAGATTCAAGTTGGTTTTGCTGGACAACATATTAGACTTCTGTGTTCTACTGAAGATAATTTACTCACAATATTTACCTATGACAAACACTTCACTCAACGAATTTGTCATGACATACTGAGTGTTTTGATCTCTGCAACAGATAATACTGTTTATTTAAATCACCAGCTTTTGGGAGGTGATTTGTTACAGGTTTCCCTTGACTGGGCATCAGAAGTGAATGACTTGGTTTTCCCAAATGGAGTACGATTGTCCTGTAAATTCAGATCTGTGTTAGCTGATCTGGTCTACTTACTCCATGAAAATATGGGAAGCAATAAACCTTCATTAGGTGATGTTTGTGTATTGCTGTATACCACAGTGAAAATAGACTGTTTTAAGCAGGCTGTATATAGATCTCTGGTTCTTACAACTACTCACATAGGTGTCTTGAGGGAAAATGCCTTTTATTCTGCACCAAACGTTTTGAATACTTCATCACAGCGATCACAGTTTGACAATCTTCAGTTGTACAGTTTGAATGATCTCCGATGTGTAGTTGTGCCAGACAAAGAGAATATGACGAAAATTGAGCTTGTATTTTCCAGAAGCAAGGTTGGAACTGATTCAGGAACTGGTTTTTCTAAACGCATTGAAAAAGAAATAAATCCTCAGCTGACAGTCATTCCATCATTTCTTCAAAACAGTTTGCATCTCCCTTCAGAAATCTGGAAATTAACATTCAGCTCGAGTGAAGAAGCCATTTGGTTGATTAGGCATCTGACTAGGTGTTGAAAACCAAAAACATTTAGATACATTCAAAATAAGACGTAATGAGTGCTAGTAAAATACTCTTATCAATAGGCAAAACAGTCCTTTGAGTCTTTAATGGAGTACCATGGGAGATGTAGACACCAACAATCTTACCAATAATTATTATTTGATTGTTTCTATTGATGACACTGTAGTATAATTGTACAAACATTTCTTTGAGAAGATGAGGAAATTAAATGCTTCTATTTTATAGGTAGGTGGTTCAAAGCTATAATTACAGCTGAATATTCACATTTTTATTTTGGATGTTTCTGTCTCCCTCCTTTTCTTATCAATCTTAATTGTGCCTTCTACATTCCTCCCTGGTTGCCTTTTCTTTGATCTTTCTGACTGACTTTGTTTTTCCCGGTTCTCATTTATTTCATGTCCTTGATTTCAGTGTTTCATGAGATTTACAGTATATTTTGTACACTTGAATTGCAAAGTGTTTAAGCATACAGTGCATTTATTGTCTGCCGTTAATACTAAGGAAGTTTGTAGTTTTCATACCTTGAAATTTTGGAAAAAATGTCATTGACAAGAAATGTTTTTTTTTTCTGATTCAGAGTTTCACATTCTCTTTCATTAAAGTTTATCACAGGTGTAAAAGGAGTTATGTGTGCCTTATTCAAAATCAGGCTGGTTGTACTTGCAGGGACTGATGGATTTGCTGTATCTCTTTTTTCTTGGGTTTGCTGCCTTTACCTAGAGCCAGGACATAGTAGGCTAGGGTGAACCATGGAAGCAGCAAAAGAGCAGCAAAAATGAAGTGAGCATCCAAGACTCTATTTACTTCTCTTTTTACAAGGAAACAACGCATAGCTTGAGTCATTCTTTAATCTTTTCCAAATAGTTGACTCCCTTGCAGAAGAATGAGTCTGTAAAGTCGCTTGATGCAAGTTCTTGAGGAAAATGTGATGTGCAAATGAAGGTGGTTGAGGCGCAAATTTGCATTTTGATCTTTGCTCATGCTACTAAAATTGAGGTAGGGCCAAAAGAAAAAAATCAGGGTTTGTCATTTGTGTGCATTTTTTCTCACATTGTTAAATGGATAGTTAGCAACTGAGGATAATGCCTATAGCATGGAATAAGTTTAATGTATATGTCGTGTCACATGTCCAGCAAGAATTTTCCCTTTTCTGCTTCCTTACTATGTGGTTGATCATGCTGAGAGATTACGTCTCTCAGTCTCTTAAACTCTTTATTTTTATTACTATTGAAAATACAAGATTTCAGTTGTCAAGGCTCTTCGAAGCTTAGCGAAAACAAAAATAACAACAAACAGATATAAGCTCTTCTCTCTCATCTTTTGCCTCCCCTGAAGCAGGAGCTGAATACCTTTAAATCCCATTGCTTGAATGTGCCATCTGCTTTCTTTGAGGAAGATGGCCCTTGGCAGAAAAATGGTGGTATCTAATCTGAAATTCTAAACTCTATACACATATTGCCAGTAGACATGCAGTCTTCTGCCAGACAGAGTTAGACTTCTGTCTGTCTATGCATGTAAAAACATTTCCCATTTGTTCTCACCGTATGTTAAAACATGATAATGTAATTTATTTGGGGTTTAAAAAATCAGCTACTGCTGCAGATATGGAAGTTGTGGCTAAAGAGAAGAAAGGTAGTTTGGGTAGAGAGTTATGATTATTTTTCATAACAAAGGAATTCCTACCTTAAGGGATTCCAAAGAAAAGAGCAAAATATGTTATTTTATTTTGAGGTACTGGGATGTTTTCTTTTAATGAGAAAGCCTATACCAGCATCTCGTAGAACACGAGACAGGGTTGTTCCTCATAATTTCAGTAAGGAAGTGGATCCTTTTTTCGTATCATGAAAGCACTTCTGAGTCTTGCTGTATGTTAAAATTAATTAGCAGTATCTGGGAAGACTGTCTTGATGAAGGCTACTAAATGAAGTGATTACTGCAACTAATTCTTTTTCAGATTGTATTCTAAAGTTAAACATGTTTGTGCACATCGTGTTCCACGTACCATGTTTTTTTTTCTGTTTTAAATTTGTTTTCAAATCTAACTCGATGTATATTCTGCACTTTTGTCAAAAAACTGCATTATAACATCTTCTATTCCACTGCAAATTAAGCATAACCAAACAATGAAAACATTATTTAATCTATTAGAACATGTTTTTCACATATATTTTGCTTGATTTTTTTTTTCTTTTCTAACTATTAGCTGTTGTTTGTAATAGCTTCATGGAAGTGACTGAAAGTAAATCACATGTGACTTTACAAGCTTCATAGTTGTTTTAAAACAGCATATAAATATTGTTGCCAAGGCAGTGAACTTTTCTTTCTTTCAAAAAAGGAATTAATTTCATTTTAACACCCCAGAAAGCTAAGTGTTACTTAAAAAGTCAGTAACTTGGGGAGAAGCGAAAGAAAGGCAGAACAGAGAGCAGAGGAGGTGTTTTTTTGTTTATTGTCTAGCCAAAGATGGCCGAAGATATTTTACCATACAGAGAAAAACTTTTTCCTTTAACATTTTCAGTAAAAAGGAAAAAAAAATAGAAACAGCTCTCTCGATAAAGCCATCTAATTGAATCTAAAATTCACTTTCTTTGGCTGCTGCTTTTTCTTTTTCAGTAATGTTAAGGAATTGATATTTACAGTTGACTGGTGAAAAAGTCGCAGCCACCCCTTCTATGTAGCTTTCTGGTATCCTTGCCCAGCCATCTGTAATAGCATACAGAGAGGTCTAAGTTTTTTTTGCACTGTTTTTGAGCTCAAGAGAAGTTATGTCATGTATACTGTACTTAATTCTAAAATGCCCTTGGATTTAAATTGTCTGGTTTTGCATGACATTATAAATAGATTTGCTGCATGAAAACAAACACATATAGAAATATCTATAGCCGTAAAGGCTTGATTGATATTGTTATGAGAATTAATACAAAGTCTACTCCTTTCCTCTGTTTTTGGAATTGCAGCTGAAATTTCTACTTTCTCCATGCCCTCTTTCCTGGCTGTTCTGGCCAAGGACGTTTTCTTAATTTTAGTCATTTTTTTTTTTCTTCTTCTTCTTTAATTTTTTTTTCTCTATGTAGTGATTTTTGGTTTTCCTTTATTCTCCCTATTTGGTATGCATTTGAAAGCGGATGGTCTGTCGTTCTCTGGGAGCAAGTCCAGATGACCTAAAGGACCCAATTAAAATTAGTATTCCACGCTATGTCCTGTGTGGGCAGGGAAAGGATGAACACTATGAGTTTGAAATAAAGGTAAGTACTTTTTAGTTACTTCTTCTTAATATATAGATTCTTTGTATGCATGGTGCTTGCATTTATGCAACAGTAGTGGCATAGTAATAATAAAAATAAATAATATAAAACATTTGCAGTGTGGATCAGTTGTACGCAGATGCTGATGCTAAGGCTTGGGCTGAGCAGATTCAGTGTCAAATAATTCCATTGAAAATGTGGCAAAGATCAGGATGAAATGAACACTAGCTATAGAAAAGCACTGCATTGAGATGAAAGTGTAGAAGTACAGAAAATGATTAAACTTGATATATTTAACTGTAATGAAAGTGTAATTCAAACATTTTGCACATATCCACAACTTCCTTTTCTTGCTCTTTTTTGTTATGATTCCTCCCATCCTTCACTACCCAAGTCTCACTTCACCAACTCTTACCTGCTTCCTAGTATCTCTCTCTGTTAATGTTCCCTCTCTGAAAGCTGGGAAAATGCATATTCATTGCTTTTCCTTTGGTACTAAGCCAGTGCCTTTTCAAAGCAGGATGCGAGATCTAATTGGAAATGTGCTCTCAGTGCATGTGGACATGTAGCATAACTGATCTACATGACATTAGAGACAGATTTGGCAGGTGTCTTTACAGAATTTGCTGCCAGATGCTTCACTAGCTGGTGCAGGTGGGAGGTATGGCCTTTCCTCACAGCACATAGGACCATTTTTGAGCTGTGCTCGCCTTTCTCTTTTTTGCATCTTTATTAGGATAAATAATTTTCTTTTCTTTCGTCTCTTTGTACTAATTACTTTCCTTTTTGAAATATATACTTCATTTTGCCTTTTGAACTTTGGATTTGTTGGGGCCAGGACTGGCCCAGAGACCTGTTGCCATCAGGCATCAAAAAGAAATTCCTAGAGAAGAGCAAGCGCACTTAAAACATCCCTGAGGACTAGTCTAGCTTCCAGCCCAGAACATTTACTAAACTACAAAATGGTTCATTAGGGTCGATAGAGTAAAAAGATGCTGTGTCATTTTAGTAAACATGAGTGTATTTCTTTTCTTTCTCCATTTTTCCCTGGGAAAACCTAACTGACTTTTTGTAATTTTTTCATAGATTCTAGGTCTCTGTGTCACACTGTGCTACTTGTGCTGTGGTCAGGATTTAGCTTCACACTATTATCCACAGACTTTCCACAAACTTTACAATAGAAAAGTTTTGCTCTGGAGGGCACTCATCTCAACTTCTAGGTGTAATACCTTCATCTGTAGCTACTCATGTTCTGTAGGAAATCAGAATTAGTGATACAGGGATTTTTCTTCATTAGAAGCTAGGAAACTAGTAAGACAAGATCAAGAGGAAAGGATATGTATCTGTTTCTTCCATACCTTCCTGATAGACCAGGCCATGGTGTCAATTGTTGAAATAATTCCGTATTTCAAGCTTAATTTAGTTAGCTCCTATATATTTTCAGATGATCTCATATCATGTCAGTTATGGGGAATGGCTGAGGTGTTGCTAATCTCATTTCTTTTGCCTGACCCCACACTAGCTCTCCCTATAAAGTTTCCTCTTACTCTTGGGAAAAGAGGGAACAGACCTATTCCCACGTAACAGCACTGAAATCTGACAGGAAGTGATCAAGTTGAATTGGAGAAGGGTCCTAAAACTTTGTGTCATAGATATCTACATTAAAAACATTTTCAGCAGAGACCTCCATCAATGTATTAGTAGTTAAAAGCTACAATGTTTCTCTACACAAGAACAAATCTAAAAAAAGTAAATATATTTTTTTCTTATGACATAAAATAGTAAAAAATGATTTTCCTATACTCCAAAAGAGAGAATGAGTTCCACACTTGGCAGCACTGTGGCCTGTTCATAAATCTTTCAGTCCTAACATAGCATCCAAATATTTTCTCCTAATGTAAGGTCAGCATCTTCTCCATCTATGTATATGTAACCTTCAGAAATGGCCAGCAAGATGGTCTCTGCTCAGGTATATCCACTGGAAACAGATTATACTTCAGTGTGTTGAGCAAGTTCTGTTAGAACCTATTGGAGAGGCTTGAAATTAGAAACAAATATGTATTTTATTTAAGAGTTACCCACCACCACCTTGTGTAGCAAAAGCAGTCAAGGCCAGCTGCTTGTTCTACTCTGCTACTTAAATACTCAGTATTAGTAGCTACTTTTTCAAATAAACTTCTTTTTGGAAGGCAATTTTCTATGTGTTTTTTAAAGACATGATGAAGCAGCAGTATTAATCAGATCTTACATATTTATGTTAGAGCTGAATTAAGGTGCCAGAAGCTTTTCTTTGTGTTCTCTTCTTCCTTTCATGTTGTTGGGATGCACAGAAGGTTCAAAGACACGACCGTTTTCTAAACAGCATATAGGAAGAATTTTAAATCTATGAGATTGTCAGCATCTGTTACAGAGAGTAGTTATTTTCTGTTATCTGCTTAGTTCACAGTTCTCATATGATTTTTTTTTTGAGTTATCTTTGAGTTCTCTCTAGAAGAACCCCAAAGATTCACTCCAGAGCGCAGTTCCCTTCCACACCTCAAACTATGAATGTTTCAGATGAATTAGAGTGAAGGAGGAACAGGCCATATCAACACGTAGTTCTTAAAGTAAATATTGCATGCACTGTTGTACTGCGTGTACCTAAATTAGGAAATAAAAATCTTCTCTGAATTCTATCTAAGTTAATACCCTCAAAAATTAAGCATAGAAAGGTTCCAAGAAATACATCTGCCTAAATGTGGCCGTGTATTCTGCTTATTTTTTTTTTTCTCCCCTCTTTCTCTTTTTTTTTTCTCTTGGCTAGTGAGAGGTGAAGTTGCAATGAATTATGTTTTGGAAAGCACACATTTTGTCAGATACTTCAGACAGTGAACGCAGAACGGTCTAGATAGAGGGACATTTTTCATTCTGAGGACTTCAGAATTAAGTGAAATATTTAATTTTGTTCTTTTTTCTATATGTTTTCACTTGTGTGAGGGCAAGGTCGAGCACATTGATAAATTCTGGGAATTGCCTTCCAGCGGAATCAATAGAAAATGGTGGGTAGATCATTTTTTGACAGTCACCATGCAGAAGAAAAAATAAGGAAGAGGAGTCTGTAGTATCTCCTTTCAGATTTCTAGTTTTTATTCACTTCAAAGGGGAAAACAAATAAAAGCAGAATTTCAAGGCAAGTCTCAGATCATGTAAACCCCTAGATGAAGTGTTTTGAAATATTGCTTTACAGCCATATAGCTTTACACCCATAGATTTTTTCATTGAGAAAAAAATTTTGACTACTGTAATAGCAAGTAAGAAGTAGAAAATAAAAGGTCATCCAAATTTACTTTTCCTGCTACTATTAAAAAGAGGATCTTCCCTTTTTTTCTGGCCCTGTACTTACAGAGTCTGTAGTCTTACAAGCTCTCATTCATTCTTGGAAGAAGCAATCATAGACCAAACTGGTTGTATTAGTTTGTAGGAGTATAACAAATATGTGGCTTTTTCTGTTCTCCTCCCTGAGCATCTCAAACAGGTTTTACTTATCAGGTAGCTAAAACTGCCTTTTCAGTAGTAATTTATTAGACATGTTAGGAGAAAGCTGCCGAATATATGGATGTTGGAATTGGCTGCAGGCAATTTGGTTTCGGTAAATTGAGCACTACCCTGTCACCTAAACAGCTGTCTATATAGCTCTTCCCCAGGCTATGGAGCAGTAAGAATCCTGGATGCTTTGTACTAGGTTCCTTCCCTAAAGGCAGTCTTCTAGGTGGGGAATAAAGAGGTCACTTTTAAAGATCATTCACTTTATTGGAGCAAAATTTCACAGTTCAATTAGAAATGCCAAGATAGAGAGTTAAGACGAAATTAGAGCATGAGTCATATCTTTATTTTATGATTATCCATTGCAGTCTAATGTTTGTTTAAAGACTTAAATAGCAAAGTGATTTACTAAAGTTATTCAGAACAAAATTGCTAATTGACTAATTAAGGTCAACATGATGCAAGTATTCTTGAATTACTGATTGTTTATAATGCTTGTTTTCTGCTTGTTTTCACCTCATCTGTAAAGTCTGAGACATTGTTTACAATTATTGAGAGAGGGCGAGAGCATGAATTTTTTGTAAGGAAATAGTCTATCATGCAGATGTCTTAATAGCAGTGAAGTGTGCTGATGACTTGGAAAAAAATACTATCATTCAAAGAAGCAGCAGTAATAAACTTGCATTGGGAAGACTTGTATGAAAAAAAAAGCTTTATTATTTATGAAAAGCAAAATAATGTTGCAAGAAGGCCAGTCTTGTTTACTTGCTTTTGTTTAAAAAACAACAAAAATACCCAAACCTGGTTCCTTGTGTCATGTAATTCAAAATAATTTTTGTTTTCTAAAGCATGTCCAACAGTTTTACTGTTCTGCATCCACCAAGGAAGGCAGAAGGGCAGAGAAAGGATATACCAGGAGTTGAGAAAAATGTGTTAGCTGTTGTCAAATATTGGACTTCCATACGTTGTTACAGTTGCTTTTTCTCTTACTGCTCCAGTGACTATTTTCATCTCCCTGTAAGTTTCTTAGATGCTTAGTTCTGAGGGAACTAGTTTTGTATTTTAGGACTCACCTTAGTCCTGTATCTTTGTGAAATGCAGTTTATGAAAATGCTTATTTTTGGTCTTTGTGTAAAATTATTGTTAGACAATATAGTGTTACTTACATCCATTAGGCTAAAAGAAGAAGAAGAAGAAAAAAAAAACTTTCAGATGCAAGCAAGATCACTCTCTTTTCTCCTCCTCTACTAAAAGGAAAAAAAAAGTCTACCTCTCCCTACAGCATTTTTTCTTGATATCCTTAGATCACCAGTGTTGCAGAAAGACTTCTGTGGAAAATCAAGGGCTCTAGTCACGTCACTTTTATGACACACTGAGGAATTTCTTTCATTTCACCTAATTTTAGGCAGTGAAAAAAATTATTTCTCTGCAATTCCTCCAGTGGACTTCTCAGTTGCAGTGAGAATTTGGGGTGTAACTGCTGGCAAGCTTGCTTTGCTCTTCCACTCCGCTCCTGCTGCTAGGCACTTTATTTGCAGGGGTGCTTCTGCTCATTTCAATGAAACGTGCTATGTGAATGGGATGTTCATCAACATATTCATGACTTAACCCCAAAGTGTTTTAAAGGAACCTCATCTACTGAAAGCCAACGTATATGTGTGTGTATGTATGTATACATATATATATATATTTACCCTACAAATTAGGACCACATTCTACATAGTAGTTTGCTCTTCATGTGTTTCTGAGAAATATCTATGTATTATGTCTGTGTTCATGTGTGTACATATATAAGTATATCCTCACATGCAGAGGCACTGAATTTGTGCTAGATGCTACTCATTAATGGAACACCCACTGACTGGGGTGCTGTGAGTTTTGTAGCTCCACTGAGGGATGCTTGGGGATATTTTAATTTGTTTATAGAGCTGGCAAACTTCTGAAGTATGTGGAATAAATGTATTCATTTTTTTGCTTTGCAATCAGTGCTCCTTATGAAATAAAAGTCTGTCTCTATAATGAAAGAAAATTTTAGTACACCTATGAAAGCTTATAGATTTTAAGGGAACTAAGAATTTCCTATTTTAATCTGACAGCCTTGCTTACTGCATGCTTTTTAGTATTGTACACTGTATGTTTTTACTTCTTTTTTTTTCTTTTTTCTTTTTCTTTATTTTTTCTTCTTATACTGTCTAATATAGATAACAGTTCTGGATGAGACATGGACAGTGTTCAGGCGATACAGCCGTTTTCGGGAAATGCATAAAACTTTAAAATTAAAGTACCCAGAGGTAAGTTTTGGTCAAACTCCTTTTTGAGGAAAGGCTGGAAATCTTGAAATAGTCTTGAAAATAGATTTTTTTTTTGAAAGAAGTGTACTCAAAAACATTGTTTCTGTCTGCTCTATGCTCTTAGTTTGAGATTGTCAAGCCCTTCACTAGTCTGAAGCTCCAAGGCTGCTGGATTCAGGGTGGATTGTTGCACGTTATTGCTACATTGAGGCCGTGACTAGCACTGCAGCCTCTAACCATTAATTCCCTTTACTAATGATTGGTGCTGTTTCCAGGAGGTTTCTGAGTTGTTCACTGCAAAATACTTGCAGTCATTGCCTGGCATCCTGACAACAACTCATTTAGAAGTGTGTTGTTCCACAGATAGTCTTTTATAATAGTGCTTTCCAGGTTGCTGCAAAATGGAAAACTGGCCTTTCTGACCACCCATGAGCCTGAACATTCAGGATATGAAGAGCTGTGCCTGACAGAGCCTTAGCTCACTGAAGTGAGCATTTCAGACTAATAGAATAGTTGGGGTTGGCAGACACCTCTGGAAAGGATCTGGTCCAACCCTCCTGTCTCACGCAAGGCACATTGCCCAGGATCATATCCAGTCAGTTTTTGACTCTTTCCAAGGATTGAGACTTGACATGTGCTCTGAGTGACCTGTTGCAGTGTTCAACCACCCTAATGGTAAAAATGTGTTTTCTTGTGTTCAAGTGAAGTTTTCTGTGTTTCAGTTTGTGCCCATAGCCTTTTGTTTTGTCATTGGCCACCACTATGAAGGCTACAGCCCCATCCTCTTTACACTCTATGTCAGGTATTTGTACACATTGATAAGCCCCCCACAATGCTTTTCCAGACTGAGCAGTCCTAGATCTCCTATCTTCCTCTCATATGGGGATCTTTGAGTCCCTTAATCATCTTCACTGGCCTTGCTCCACTTTACACTGTGGACCTAGCACTCCAGATGTGACCTCCCCAGTGCTGAATCAAGAGGAAGAACCCTTGACCTGCTGGCAATGCTCTTCCTAATGCAACCTAGGATAACACTGACCACAAAGGCTCAAGGTCACCCTGTCCCCGAGACCCTCTAAGGCCCTTCTCTGGGCTGCTCTGTGGTTGGTCAGCCCCCAGCCCTGCTGGTCCTCCCTCCCCAGGGCAGGACTTTGCTTTTCCCTTGGTTGAACTTGTTTCTCTGGACTATCAGGGTCATACCACCTGTTGGTATATCTCCCAGTTTGCCAGTTCTGTGTCATCAGCAAGTTTTTAAAATTATAGGTCTTGGTTTCCACAGCTGATTTTTAATTATTAATATTTTGCTTCCTTCTCCTCACTCTCTTTGAAATAAAACAGTATTTGAAGTGATCCTGCTTTGAGAGTTATCACAAGAAACCTAGGGCATATATTCATGGGCAATATATTAAAAATTATTATTGGGTTTGAGAGAAAGAAAATGAGTTAGTGTTCAAAGGCTTTCTTGGTCTTCACTGACATATTTTTAAGCTAAGAAAACAAATGAGCAAGGAAGGACTTTGAACAAGGAATTTTCTTTCTGCAAGAATTTTCTTTCTGTATAATTTTCTTTCCTTTCTGTGAACTCATGGAGATTGACATACAGTGACATATAGATGGCATTAGTGGTTTAACTACATGGATAATGATTTCTAAATTTCTAATTTTCATATAGGAACCACATTGTACGCCTTAAGATGTTTTTTCTTTCCTTAACTACTTATATACATGCTGGGCCAAATACCAAGTTGTACAAGTATACTTGCCAGTATACTGTTTCCTGAACTATGATATTCATTAAAGTGCATTATTGGTTTTGTCTTGAAAGAAACATTTAATCACTTTATTTACTGAAACAGTTAATACGTAGCTTTGTCATTTTCTTCTTTTAGGCATTATCTTGTCTCCCACTCTACAATAACCTTAGATAAACTCTGAAGCAGATTGAAATATACCAATCTTTGCTATATGCAAAGCACACTAAAGCTCAGAAGTGAGATAAGCAGTAGATCGTGGGATCATCTACTCTTTTTTTGGTAGTTTTCATCCTGTGACTCAGGTGCCGATTTTGGAATCTTTGGTGCTCTCAGCACCAATGTCAACTTCCATATTTTGTACAGCACAGGGTGCTGGGTCCACTCTTTTTCTGAGGCTTATGGCACGGCAGGTAAAGCTGAATTTGTGGCAGAGGAATCCTAGCTAATATGCACTTGGTTTCTGCTCATCAGCATTTCTACAAACAAGTGTGTCCTTGGTTAGCAGAAAGGAAGATCAATGAAGTACATAATTTGATGCACTGAAGTAAAGGTGTAGTATTTGTTTCCTTTGAAGGAAATTCATTATCTGTTACATATATGAATGATCTATGGCTTCCCATATTTTTACCTTCACATAAAATGCCTTTAATTAATGGTAATTTTTGGATTAGTTTTGCGAAATGGGAGGAGGTTTGGTTTGTTTGACAAATGGAAAATCATCTCTCTGCTTCTACTGATCTGTCACTGACCTAACTTGGGACACAGTATTACGCTGGAATACATATTAATACAAATTTGGCAAAGTTGCTCCCTTTGTTGCTATATATTATTCCAAAGAAATTTGTTCCTTAAAAGTAATGGTATCAAAATCCATCAAAGCTGATTTTTATTTTGCATTAGCTCACCTTCCAACTCTAAATTCATATTTATAATGAACAGAGAACATACTGTGTACTTGTTTAATGTATGAGTGTCCTGCTTTTAGAAGTGAACTTTACAGCTCATTAGTTGCTCAGTTCTGAGTTACAACATCAGTATTTTAATAATTTGCTGATCTTGCATTTTGTGTTGCTGCCACTGAATTCCCAATGGAATGTACTGGAAAACCGATTTTTAGGAAGGTTTCTTTAGGAGAAAAAAAAAAAAAAAAGAGGGAGGGGGAGAAGAGAAATTTAAAAAGCAGCTTAGCAGAGGCAGAAACTCTTGGAATATGTCATATATTTTTATATAGCTGTACATTTCATTTAATGTGAGTAAATAGATGTTGATAACTGGGTATCTAGTTGAAGTGTATCACATGCAATTTCGAAAGACTGAAACTGCAGCAGAATGCCAGAAGCAGTTAAGTACTTGCATTTTAACAGCGCGTTTTTTATAGGGTCTCCATGATTGTCACTTGCACAGCTTCAGCTTTCTTACACTGCTGGTTTGTTAATGACTCTCATTATTTGGGGAATTTTAATTGAGACTGTACTTGATTCTTAGCTACAGTAGACTCTCTGATGAATATCCTTTTTGTTGTTTTTCAGTAGTCAGAAATAGAAACAAATAAGCTCTCTAACTGAGAAGTGAGAGCTTTCAGTGCAAGGTATTCTTTTGAGCCTTATTCATCTTTTCTTGTCATATACTACTTCAAAACCATGATCTATTTCTGCACAAACCTTTCCTTTTGGAAACTTTCCTTTTGGTTCTTGTCTTGCTCTAAAGGCAAACTTTCTCTCCCGTTTCCGTTAGTTCAGCAAGTCGAGCAATGTAGTGTCATTATGGCCGGTGCACTCCTCTTATGAAAACCTTCTATCTACTCCCCACTTTAAAAGGGCAGCAGAGGAAGAGTTTTCTGTTTATTTTTCCATACTGGAATCCAAGGTCTATGAAGTCTGTCATGTATATGGGAGTCCTTAGTTCCCACTTGTGCTCAGGCTTATGGGCATGATCTGGCCTGGTTTTGGGGGCGCTCACTGCTTGGCTTATGGAGCTCCTTGTACGTCTTCCTAAGACCTTTCCCCCAAGCATAACAGCCTCTAAATGATATTGAAGGAAACACTGTCAGATAGTCTTGAGGCAATTTTATTCCTAATAGCAGTTTAAATCTTAAAATATCATTAGATCCTTGCTAAGCTCACCAAAGAGAAGTTATTGTATGTGTATTGCATTGAAAGATTCATTTGTAAATATAATGACATATGAAGATAATATGGAGGCAGGATTTCTCTAGGAGTGCTCAAGCTATGAACTTTTCGCTCATTCAGTAGAATGTAATCATTTATGTAGTTGTGTATGATGTATGTAGATATGTATATCAATATAAATTTGTATCTTTCTCCACTACCTAAATCACAAAAAAGGGTTGTTTATAATTTCCTCTCATTTGCTTTACAGCAAATACTATAAAGCAAATGCTTATACCTTCCTCTCATTTTTTTTTTGTACTACTGGTATATAATATCATGATGTATAATATCCATATCTGAAGCAGCAGGAAGGTCTATGTAAACTTAAACTTTCAAGTCTAAGTTATCATGTGATCTGCCTCTATTCCTATGTGCTATTCCCATATTCCTGCCAGGAATAGGGGAACAATTTAAAATAAAGGATTACATGTATTAGAGTAGTATGTGGTATGTAATAATGAAGACAATGTTTCTGTTACAAACCTGTTACAAATGTTACAAACCTTACTACAGATGTTATCTGATTATTTTAGAAAGTCTAGATGTATCTCTAAATGGATTCTTAATTCAGGTTCTTTCTGAGTTCTCTGCCAACTCAGTGCCACTTAGTGAGTCTAATATATAACAGTATTTTAAACTTTGTTTCTGTTTTTGAGTATTTGACCTAGTGCAGAAACAAACCTATTAACATAATTAGACTGGAAGGATGTTTCTTGATATTAATTAGCAAACTTTTTTTAAAAAATAAAGTATACTAAAAGCTTAACAGTTTTAACATGTTAGCCTTTGAGCAAACACCAATGACTATAAACAGTCTAAAGGCTGTTTTTTACTAATAGCAAAGTGCATATTCAAGCACAGATTAGAATGGCAGTTGTTTACAACATTACCTATTGTGCTCGTAAATAGCAAATGCATATTATTTTAATATCCCTGGCATAGTTAGAAAAGTATAGAAAAGCATGCAGAAAACAGTTTTTGACATACAGATCAAAAATAATGCAGTTGCTAGGTTTTTTTCTACTTTCTAGCTGGAAACTTTGTTAGCCTTACTAATATGCCTTTCCATAAATTT